AGCTCCAGCCTTGGAGTCAGGAAGACCTGAGTTCAAATGTGACCTCAGACACATGACACTTATTAGCTGTGTGACCCTAGGCAAGTCACTTAACCTCGATTGCCTCACGAAAAAAAAAGAGGCTATAAGCTCATAGAACATGTTCATGGAAAAATACTAACAACAGTATTTTGGGGCAGCTAGGTGGTGCAGTGAATAGAGCACTGGCCCTGAAGTCAGGAGGACCTGAGTTCAAATCTGACCTCAGACCAAACACTTGAAAATTTACTAGCTGTGTGACCCGGGGCAAGTCACATAACCCCAATTGCCTTAAGAAAAAAAAAGTGTGCAAAACCAGGCGGGCAACAGTCCCACTGTACTCTGCTTTGATCAGACCATATCTGGAATATTAATGTTAAGTTCTGAGTACCACATTGGAAAGTAGGAAAACCAGGATAGTGAAGGGCCTCAAGATCATTCTTTTGAGGATCATTTGAAGTAAGTAGGAATGTTTAGCTTGGAGAGAAGATAGTGAGGGAACAGTGTATATGTCTTCAGGTAATATCGGGACTTTCACATTGAAGCCAATGAATGATGACTTGTTCTTGGCTCCAGACAGCTTAACTAGGTGTAATGGATTTTTTGTAATGGATTAATTTATAATTAATTTGCAATGGATTAATTAATGGTCTTGTTTCCTGCTCTCTACCTCTTGTCCTCTGAACAGAGAGAAAAGCTGGGCCTTGCACATAATAAGTGCTAAATAATGTTTAATTTTCCTTTGTCCTTCCGGTGTGACTCTCTTTATACAATCTTTCCCATGTCTCCATTGCATCCTTTTCATCTGGTCTTTGCATATGGAACCATCAGGACTTCCACAAAATCACTGAAGGTTTTTTGTCAGAATTTGTACTTGTTGGCCGGCCCAAAGCTTTCTTGCTTTGATCCTGTTTCTTTTGTTTCCCTGTTGCCTTCCTGTGGTAGTCCTTTTCAGCTGCATTTGAAAACACACCTTACCTGTGTGTTTCTCTAAAGTTCTCATCCAGCCAGCAGATGATTTTCAAGTGTATGTAGAGAACTTCATTGAATGGACAATTGACATAGCTTCTGAGAAGCTATTTGCATCGTGGTTTTCTGAGTTTGCCCATTCTAGTCTACTGCTAAACTATGAATCCAAATAGAGTAGGAAATTGAAGTTACCGTTGAAGTAACAGAAATAACAATTGCTGTGAAAAGCCAAATTAAGCAGGCTTAGTCCTTGCCACCCCATATGTTCTGTCTTAAGCAGGGCTTGCCTGCTGAGCTTCAGTTCTTGGCAAAACTGTAAAGTCATCCTAAGATTGTTTCCCTCCCTTTTTGTACCACCACCCCCTTGGGGTGCTCCTGTGTTCCCTTGGCTACTCGGACTTCTTTTCTCAGTCCTTGACCCTAGCCTACCCATTCTGGGTAATCCTCCGGGCTTGGATTCTCCCTCTCCAACAGTTGGCTCACAACAAGCAATCTGTATCAAAGTGGCCCTATCAAGGAGGTTCATGTGTATTTGTTTTTAATGACTAAGTTTAATGGCTACTATTTACATTGTAGCCAGACACATCCAGTGCCTTAGACAGTGTGATGTAGTGGAAAGAACACTGAAATTGAAATAAGAAAAACTGGGTTGGAATTCTGGATCTACCACTTATTAGTCATTATTAAACTAGGTAAAGTCCCTTTCCTATTCAATGTCCTCATTTGTGAAGCAGGGACGAAATCCTTGCACTAACTACCTTTCAGGAATATTGAAAGAAGAGCACTTCTAAACTTTCAAGTCCTCTCTATTAATCTGAAGGCATTGATTTTTAGATCAGTGGACCTTCTAGGCACTCCCTCACATTGCAATGGGGACTGGATATTGTTTTGGATAAATTTACAGACTGTTTGACCCTTGGGTATCACTTAACCTCTACCGACCTCAATTTACTCATCTGTAAAATGAGAAGGTTGGACTAGATATCCTCTAAAGGCCCTTCCATCTCTAATTTGATCCTCTGAACTCCATGCTCTGAAGGCCAGCACTGATTGGTTGTTTATTGTTGTTTTGTTTTGTTTTTTGCCCTTTTTTTTAAGGCAGTTGGGCTTAAGTGACTTGCCCAGAGTCACACAGCTAGTAAGTGTCAGATGTTTGGTCTGATGCCGTCTTTGAACTCAGGTCCTCCTGACTTCAGGGCCGGTGCTCTATCCACTGCGCCACCTAGCTGCCCCATTTGTTTATTTTTTAACTAACATTTACTAGCCTCTCTACTCTGGGCTTTTGTAGGAAACTGACTAGCAGTGGCATTCAGAAGCTGCCCTCTCCATACCAGAACTAATCTGTTCCAGTTTGAGCCACTCCTAGTAACATATCTACTTTTCTTTCCAGAGATGGTCTTCCTTTGAGCCATCTATATGCATTCTCTTTCTCCACCCCATGAACAAGGGCATCTTTTTGTTAGACCATTGGCAAAGGTCTAGGGCCCAGGACTTGGGCCAAAAGTATTCTTAGTATTCTACTGCTAAGGGCAGCTAGGTGGCCCAGTGGATAGAGCACCGGCCCTGGATTCAGGAGGACCTGAGTTCAAATCCAGTCTCAGACACATAACATTTATTAGCTGTGTGACCCTGGGCAAGTCATTTAACCCCACTGCCTACCCCCCCCCCAAAAAAAAGTATTCTACTGCTCAGTATAACATTTTAAAGTTAGAAAGAGTTTTCCCTACCAAAGGGCTATGAGGTAGGCAGTATCCCTATGTTTCTGATGAGATAACAGGCTTAGGGAGATTAAGCAGGCACATGACATGCTAGAGGCTGGAATTCAAACCCAAGATTCTCCTGATTCAAGTACAGTGCTTTTTTTACCATACCATGCTGCTTTTCCCCAAAGCTAATTGCTCTCTGGGGAAATCCTTCATTAGCCTCATTAACATTGTGCTTTAACCACCTGAGTCCATAACCAGAGCTAATAGCAGTCATTTACATTTCTATAGTGATTTATATAGCCACCTCATCCTCCCAGCTATCCTTTGGGGGACAGGGCAGCTGGTGATGGTACCCTCACTTCACAGTTGAGGAAACAGGTTAAATGCCGTAGGTCACAGAATGTCATAGGATTTAAAGCTAGAAGAGACCTTAGGACATCTGGACCTGTTTTCTCATCTATGAAATGAGGAGGTTAGACTAAATGGCTTCCAAGTTCCCTTTCAGCTCTCCAGCTGTGCTGTCATTTTATAGCTACAGGGAACACGGAGGCCATGGGAAAAAATATTATGAATTTGTATTTTTATTTAATCATATGGTACCCGGGCTTCCTATTCTATAGACCCATAGTTGTTAGTGTCTTAGAGATATTCTCCACAAAGCTTTTACTATATCTTTGCCTCTTTATAGGATGCTCCATTGAAGGGCCCTTGGACAGGTGCACATGGGAGAAAATCACCTCACAGCTTCAAGAGTTACAGCTGTGCAGCAGCAAACTGAGACCTACTGACCATCAAGCCTTAGGCCAGCAGCTGGCCTGCAAGAAGGGTCCTGCCTCCTTCATACTGAGCCACCACCACAAACTTTTCTTTGGATGTCACTGAGCAGCAGCAACCCTTCTTTTTCTTTCCTCTACTTCCATTTAGGTACCTTACAAACTCCATGGATTTAGACTTATAAAATCCTCAATAAATCACTGCTTCTTGTTTTATTTATCTACATCACCCCCTCAATGATGTTCTCTGTCTGAGCTGTTCATTGCCTTTCCCCATCTCACTGCCCTGTTTGAGGGAATCATAGTGAAGGCCTACTGGGAAATTGGTGTATTTCTAGGACCCAAATCTGTCTGATTACTTAGGAGAGGGATAGAAAAGCTTTGCTTGCCCAAGTAGTTTATAGGATTGTAATAGGATTAGGGAAATGACCCTTCAGCCTGCTACTTGACTTGTTTCCATATTTAATCTCATCCTGGGCTTGTAGGGTAATTCTAGGTTTGTTTATATATTTCCTCATTAATAAAATTTCAACATCTCTAAATCCATTTAAGCTCAGAGTTCCCCATCCCAGTTCACCAAATATTATTTAATACACCTGAGAAACCTTTCCTACTAGTAGGTACTCATTTCTTTATATATCAAATCCCTTGATCTCCTGGGTTTTAGTAAATATTAAAGTTACAATATATAGTTTGCTAACAATGAAATCAATAATAGGTGTAATTATTTATATATTCCCTCAGCCCTCATCGTAACCGTGCATGACAACATGAGAACACGGTTGCCGGCTTTAGTCTGTTCAGGATGTCAGGCTTCAGGCAAGAATCTTCTTTGGGCAAGAAGGATTACAATAGTTGAATAAAAAGGTGTTCTCTTCTTTTTCTCACCGTATTCCCCTGCCTTCAGGAAAAATAAGCTCTTCATAGGCGACTCCATGTTTCATCACAAAATAACCATTAAGACAGCTATAACAACAAAACCGTTATCTTCCCCTTTATCATGGCTTCTCCATCGTTTACTTCCTAGACCAGACCAAAGTAAAATTCACACTCCCCTACTACACAGAAAGACAGTTGTTACTCGGCTCCTGTTCTTGAGTTGCTCGAGACCCTGTAAAGCTTTCGAAATGGTTTTGAGGAGACTAGATGTAGTGTTAGAAGGAATTTGCCCAAAGCCCCGTTTTACACTGAATCAAAAGGCCTGATTTCCTTTTTCATTTGCTGTGGGCATGACGGTCGAGGCCAGAGGTGGAGTTTTTTTTTGCAGGAAACTAACGCCCTGCCCCGTAGAATTAGCCCAGAGTTAAATGCGGGAGAGAAACCCAGTTACAGGACCGGGGCTGACTCAGATCTGTGCTTGGAAACAAAAATGGTGGACCCCAGACAGCCGTTAATGCAACTGGTCGCCACCCTTGGCCCCTTTCAGTTTCGCCAGGGATCTAGGACTTAATCTGGTGAGCCTAAGAAAGCTTAGACAGGTCTGAGGGGCGGGGCTTGGGGGGGGCTAGTCTTGCCCCGAGCACCTTGAGGATCTGCGCAAGCGCAAGATGCCCGGCGTATGCGGACGAACGCCGAGACATCGATCGTCCGAGAGAGCCTTGGCTGGCGCCATCTTGGATCGGGCCACCCGGAAAAGAACGATCCCCAGGTACCGAGAGTAGATCCCAGCGGGAGACCGACCCCTCCTCCCCAGTCCCCAAGGCGAGCCCCAGGATCTAGGGTCTCGGCCTCCCCTGAGACCTCTCCCAAGAGAAGGTCTGGCGGCAGCCGCGGCTCTCCCCCTCTCCTTCGCCCCGCCCGGTTTCAGCTTTGCGACCACAGAAGAGAATCCGGGCGCCGCCGTCGAGCATGTTTCATGGGATCCCAGCCACCCCCGGGATGGGAGGTGAGTGTCCCCGCCCCGCTTTGCCGTTCTAACGCGGAGGGCAGGCCGGGGAGCCCTCGGAGAGAGGCCGAGGGAGTTGGAAGGAAACACGGCCACCGCCGGCAGGGGGCGCCGGGAGCCCAGGCCGAAGGAGGGGGCGGGCCGGGGATGAGGGAGGGTCTGTCCCCGAGCCTCCTCTGCTGTCCAGGGGTCCCAGGAGAGCCCCTAGATCGAGAGAGCTGTTATGAGAGATGACCAGCCAGAGTCTCCTATTAATTTATCTAAGGGGCACCTACTTAAAGAGAATGGTCAGGGGGCGGGCAGAGACTGTAAGTTTAGGGAAGACCAGGTACCTGCCCCCCACTAAAGTCTTGATCCAGAATCTTTTTCTTTGTTTTCAGCCCCTGGGAATAAACCAGAGCTGTATGAGGTGAGGTCTACCTTCGTGTTGGTGGGATTCTTTCTCGGCTCCCTTCTCCTCAGTTCCATCATCCCCATTTTTGGGGAGGAAGACATGAAAAAGCCTGGCAGTGATTCTTATTGCCTGCAGTTTACAAGTTTCCTAGAAGGCCAAGATGATATGGGGCCCAGGGTTTGCCTCTTTGTACATACCTGACATTAGGAAGGTTCTCTTTTTTCTCTTGCAGGAAGTAAAGCTGTACAAGAATGCCCGGGAAAGAGAGAAGTGAGTCCCAAAGAGGATGGGGAGAAAGAGGAGGGCCTTTTTCCCTCTGTGAATGAGGGTGGGGTTGGAGAGGGTCCCAGGCCATCTGGTAGGCCTCTACACTACAGCCTTCCCTTCTACTGGTCACCTCCAACATAATTGCTGGGAGTCTTGGCATGCATAGTTACAGCCTTGAGGCCATTGTAGCCTAGGGCTAGCTAGGCTCTGGGTGGATCTGCCTGTAATTGGCTGAGCTCTGTTCCTTGAGTTGGGTAGTATTGAAATGTCCAGAAAATCACCCATCCCCTGACGGTACCCTTGTTCACTTGATTCTCTGTGCTTGCCATTGCTGCCAGATCTATGAGCATTTCTGACATATTCAGCACTGCTGTCAAGGGTAACTCATAGAGGACAGTGAGTAGAGGGTGGCTGGAGCCAGAGCCATGGCTGCCCCTGGGGGAAGGGTGGGGTCCTTTCTGCTATACCAGGGAACTTCCAGCTTGACTAACCAGGCCCATGCCTTCAGGTATGACAACATGGCAGAACTGTTTGCTGTGGTGAAGACAATGCAAGCCCTGGAGAAGGCATACATCAAGGACTGTGTCACCCCTAATGAGTGAGTGTCCTTAAGGAAGGGATACCATTGAGGGGAGGAAAGGAAGAGAAGGGAAGGAAGAAAGGCCCTTCGACATCTCAGTTGGTTTCTAGATATTCTTTCCAATTTTCTGGATGCTCAGAAGTTCTGTGATACAACACCTGACTTCTGCTTTCCAGTACACACACACACACACACACACACACACACACACACACACACACACACACACACGATCTCTCTCTCTCTCTCCACATATACATATACATACATATCCATATCCATATATATACACAGACATAAGGTAGAGCTAGAAAGCAGTGACTAGAAAGAAACCTTAAGCTGTGGAAATGTTGCTAACTCCAAACTATCCCAGGGTTAGAGTCTGATTTTCCAAATAAATTCCAAAACTTGTCCACTTTTAATTTTTATTAATTTGTTTCCATTAGATTCATATAATTCTAAAACATTTAGGAAGGAAGGGACCTTAATGGTCACTTAGTCCCATCTTCCTCATTGCCATAGGTGGGGGAAACTAAGACCCCGAGAGGGCCTGGCCAAAGTCAGACACCAAGTCAGTGGCAAAGCAGGGAGTAGAGCTCAGAGCTCCTAACTCTTGGTTCAGTGTTCTTTTAGTTACATTCTAATTTTATAAACAGTTGTTAAGATTCTGCTATGTGCAAGGTATATGCTTTCATCTGTTTGTCAACAAACATTGATGTTTGCTGCACGTGCTGAAAGGTTGGACCTTTAAGTTTCTTTCCAACTCTTTAAGTTTCCAAGTTACATGATTTTTGAGCTTCTATCATGAGGCTGGACCTATTGCTAGCCTATGTTGAAGAGAATACAAAGAATACAAGTTTCAGGCAATGTGCTACCGTGGAAACATTATTGGAGGTTCTAGGTTCAAATTCCAACGTTGTCATTTAATACCTGTATAACCATAGTTATGTAAGTCCTTTGAGCCTTAGTTTTCTCTATAAAATTTGAGGGTTAGGGGAAGCTAGGTGGCGCAGTGGATAGAGCATCGGCACTGGACTCAGGAGGACCTGAGTTCAAATCCGACCTCAGACACAAAACACTCACTAGCTGTGTGACCCTGGGCAAGTCACTTAATCCCATTGCTTAGCCAAAAAAACAAAAAATAAAATAAAATAAAATTTGAGGGTTAGACTAGATGGCTTGTAAAGTGCTTTTCAGTTCTAAATCTATGAGCCTGTGAAGAATACTGATCCTTTAAAGCTCAATTCAAGTACTACCTCTTTCTTGAAATCATCTTTGATTCTCCCGGTCAGTAATGAACTTTCCCTTCAGATCTCACACAGCACTTCTTTTTGTAGCACGCTAATTATGTTACCATGTAGGTTTATCTGTTACAGTTAGCACTGTTAGACCAAAAGCTTCATAAGGGGAGGGATCGTGTCTTATTTCTTTGCATCATCTGTACTTATTGCTGATTGAATGGGTGAATGACTTGATCCCTTTCTTCAGTGGGGATTATAGTCTAGTAGGGGGTAGCAGTAATGATGGCTGGCATTTATGTAGTGTTTTACGTGCTTTGTTTCATTTGATCTTCACAACAATTCCATGAAATAGATAGTCTGTGAAATAGACAGTTCTTTTGATCCCCCTCTTATAAACAAGGAGAGCGAGGCCCAGAGCTAAACAACTTGTTCAGTATCATACAGTTAAGTAGCAAAGTCAGAATTTGAACACATATTATGACTCCAGATCTGATGTTCTTCCTGCCATATAAGTAATGACATTACAAAGCAGTATGTGATAATGTGAATGTGAAATATGAAAGTGCTTGTGGGCTTAATAAGGGAGTATAGGCACTGGAGACTTAAAGATGTGAAATCTGGGTTTAAATCCTGGCTCTGCTACCTACTGGGTGGTCCTGGTTGTATAACCTTGGGCAAATCACTTATCTGAAGCTTAGCTTTTTCCTTTGTGACATGAGAGAGTTAGACTAGATGGATGCTAAGGTTCATTTCATCTGTGAACCAGGCATTTCTCTCATGTGGATCTTCCCTTGGCATAAGTTCTTTTTCCCTTAATCTCCTAGAGTTCCAGGTTCCTACTTGACCTTTAAGAGCCAAGCCCCTCCCTACTCTGGGTTGGACTCTGATCCTAGAGAGCCAGGCGTATGTCTTTGTCTTAACTGAAGGTTTAGGTCATGGCCAGTGCTGAGGCTTACTTCTCCACAGGTACACAGCAGCCTGTTCCCGACTCCTGGTCCAGTACAAGGCCGCCTTCAAGCAGGTGCAAGGCTCAGAAATCAGTTCCATTGATGAGTTCTGCCGAAAGTTCCGTGTGAGTCAGCCAACCTGATGAGAGTACCCGGGGTGCTTTGACCCTTTCCCCTACTCTGATCTTTCTTTCCAAGTGGATGGACTTTCCCCCCTAGGTATTAGGGCTATCTTCAGATATGTTATGTAACTGCACCTCTCCTTACTCCCCTGGCAGCTTGATTGCCCGCTAGCAATGGAGAGGATCAAGGAGGACCGACCAATCACTATCAAGGATGACAAGGGCAACCTCAACCGATGTATTGCTGACATTGTCTCGGTAAGTCTGACCCCCTCAGAAAGGTCGGTCTGGATCTAGCTCCTCTGTCCCATTTATGTCCCTGCATCAAAATGAGGCAAGAGGAATTGTACTTTAGCACTGGTGGGAGAAACATTAGCAAGACCAACAAAAGATTGAGGTTCTAACTTCCAGTTACCATAGAGAGCAGGAAGAATTTTTCAGTGCCCCACTTAGCCTATGCAGTAGCTGTATTTGTAAACCATGGCCAAGTGACCTCTATTCAAAGTGCAGGTTGATCTTTCTTCTAAAAGGGGAAGTGAAGAAACTGGAAGAGCTCTTCTCCATTCTTCAGGCTGTCATGGAGAAGGAAGTGTTCTTAAAAAATAGAAGGACTTCAATAGGAAAACTAAAGGGGATCTGAAGAGGGAAATTGGAGGGTAGAAGACGATGACAGAAGAAAAAGGGAAGACGAATCATTTGTATCTAAGTAATAGATACAGAACTTTTCCGAAAGAGGAGAACACTGGTTCCTCAAAGGAGGAAGCAGCTGTTTGTCCTTTTGAGGAGTGAGGACTGGATCCAAGCAGGCTGCCAGGTAAGAGATATTCCAGTAAGGATCCAAGAAGGAAAAGATAAATAGTGGCCGTTGCTGATTTCCTAGTGAGAGGGATTGAAATAACTATTTGTTGACTTGATAACAAAACTCAAAAGGTCTCGTATGTCCAAGACATGACGAACCTTTTAAGACATGTCAAGCTATAACTAAAGTCATGTGCAAGAAACTGAAGACATTTTGTTTTCCATAGTAGTCACCAATAAATGGAAAGGAGAAAAAGGAGATTTAGGAAGTAGACATTTGTTTAAGATGATGGTGTCTGAAAGAGGGATTTAGATTTCTGGACAAATATAAGGAATAACAGGCTCCTGCCCAGGAATGGAGTGGACCTTACTAGGGCTGAGAATAATATTATTTGCTTGGTATCTTGTAGAAGAAAGGGGGAGGTGGAAAACTTGCTACATGTATCCACCAACTAGAGCCCAGAGGGAATGACTACAATGTAGAAAGAAGAATAACAAATAGCAGTACCTCCTTCAGATCCAAGGGAGACATTCCAGGAAAGGAGCCAGTAATAAGGCCTGTGGCCTCATATCTGTTTACAGAGGCATTAAGGGTGAATTCACAAAGGAAGAAGGCCTAGAGATAGGAATCTAAGGAAATTAATTTGACCACCCAGGGCTCACTGCGACATGATTGAGTGAGACTCAAGACTAAAATAATGCTGTGGAAGAGTACCACTTTATTTGGTATGAATTGAAGTATAGGTAAAAGGGGAATGGTACTAACTGCTGAACTGTGTTGTAAGCAATGAAAAGTTCTTGGGAGGAAATGCAGAAATCCAAGAAGAAAGTTTAGTGGAGCATTTAAGTGAAGATTAATGGAGGTACAAACAGAAGCAGTACTGTCAGTCAAGGATAATATGGACCATCCGTACAGAAAGAAGAAATAGAGGAGGAGTGTAGGAAACAGCATGACGTGGAGGCTTGAGGTTCAGTCATGTTGAGGTTCTTTATTTGTCCAGATATCTGTTGGAATTCTCTTTCTTCCCAAAGCAGAGTAGCTGATTTCTCAATTTTCTTTAATGATGATTTCATCCTTCAAAAGGTGGAAAAACAGTCCCTGGAAAGAGGTGGCTACTTCACCTTAGAATGGGCATTTGAAAACAAAAAGAGGAAAGCAAGAGTCTAATGTGTTGTATTGTGAGCTAGGCCTGATTTTGGCTTAGTCCAATAGGTTCAGGTTGTTTTTAATATAATAGATAGATAGTTCTCACTGTGATGTTGTTGTAGGGACCCCAGTCACTGAAGCTGAAGCCACTCTGGCAGGCAGAGGTTAGATAATTTGCCCAAAGTCACACAGCTAGTTTGCTAGTTGGAGTCTGAGACCAAAGTTGATCTTAGGTCTTTCTGACTCCAGGCCCAGTGTATCCCCTCGATGCCTGTTTTTTGTGCAAGCACAGTAAGCATCAGTGATTGATCTGGCAGCCAAAACAGTGCAGAGACTAAGCCCCAAGATGTGGCGGGCAGAGTCCCTCTCCTATTCTGCTCAGGTCAGGAGACATGGTCAGCACTTCGTTCAGTGCTAGGTGCTGCTTTTTAGAAAGGGTGTTGATCGGCCCTTCTTCCAAAGGAGGGCCTTCAGAATAAGTAAGGAGAGGCCTTTGATTGAAAGCCCTGGGAATGTTTGACCTGTAGAGAAGACTTAGTAAGGGCATGGTAGCTGTCTTCCCACTGTTGAAGGAAGCAGAATTAGACTTGTACTATTTGGTTTCAGAGGGCTATGCTCTGAACAGTATATAGAAGTAACAAAGAGTTGAAGTTAGGCTGGATTAAGAAAAAATAACAATTAGAGCTATATGAAATTAGATGGGCGGCTTCAGAAGGTAACGAATTCTCCCTCACTCCAGAATTGTAAGGTCATGAATGGCTGGACTGGATGGCCTCTCAGGTACCTTCCAATTCAGTAATTCTGTAAGCTAGACGATGCTCATGCTCCTGAACCCGGGTGAGGAAAACTACAATGTCACTGGATAGTGAAGCCCTTTTGGGGTGAAATCCTTTACTTCTGTAAGGATAGTTGTGTCTGGCAGTGGCAAGAGGACTGCCTCTAGAATCTGAGGATTGGGTTCAAATGCCAGCGCTGGCAAGTTATCTTGGGCAGGTTATTTGATCTCGCCAGGCTTCAATTTCATCATCTATAAAAGGAGATTGAGCTAGATGACCAAGAGATCATGAAAAGTCAAGAGTTAGAACTACACTCTAGAGGTGGTCAGAAAGCCCTAGAGATGTTTGATCAAAAGGCTGACATGACCAGATCTCTTCATAAAGACGATGAGCCTAGCCGCATATGAAAGACAGGTTGAAGCAGGAATTATAGAGGCAGAAAGACCTGTCAGGGCAGTGATGATGTACATACCGTGAAGGGGACGCGTAAGCAATATTGTGGGAGTAGAATGGGGAATTGGAAGTGGGGAAAAGGTACACATGCTGCAGGACATATTAGGAAGAAGCACAATCTGGGCAGGTCCTGAAATCCAGCCCAGCTGGGCAGCACATGAAGAAGCATCACCTGGCACGTGCTGGATGGCTTGGGATGAGGTGAATTTTCAGGCCCTTTGTCACCATTCAGATTAGCTCACTCCCAGGGGCAGAGGCCTAAAGCTTAAGTGGATAAATTTGAGGAGTAGCTTCCTTTTGTGTATAACCAGGCTTCTGTGGGGCAGCTAGGTGGCACAGTGGATAGAATTCGGGGCCTGGAGTCAGGAAGATGCATCTTTCTGAGTTCAAATCTGGCCTCGGACATTTACTATCTGGGTAACACCTGGGCAGGTCACTTAACCCTGTTTGCCTCAGTTGTCTCATCTGTAAAATGAGCTGAAGAAGAAAATGGCAAACTACTCTAGTATCTTTGTCAAGAAAACCCTAAATGGGGTCACAAAGGGCCAGACATGACTGAAAAGGAAAAAGAAAGACATCACAACTACTGGAAATTCAGCCACAATGTAGTCCCTGACATAATTTCTATAGGAGACCTCTGTTTAGTTTCCAAATGGCTAGTTTGGAAAGGAAGTGAACCTAATGTGTTTTGGGGACATCCAATATTTATAAGGTGATGGTTGCAACCATTGGTTACATAGCAAGAAAAGGGGCCCAGGTGTCACTAGAGAGCTCCCAGACAACAACTGAATGTGTAGGTATGGCCAGATAGCTCTGCAGGGAGCTGAACATCAATAGGGATGTGGAAATAAAACAAAATTTCTTTGCCTCATGAAAACCATTGAGCAGAAAAGTGGTAGATGTGGGAAGCTTGGCATGTCCCTGCCGGCAAGAAATAGCCGTAAATTGAAAGGAGACTTCCAGTTCCAGTCTTTGCTTTGCCACGTAACTCCCTGTATTAGAGACTTGGTCAAGTCTTCTAGCATTTTGGGGCCACAGTTTCCCAGTGTGAATTAAAATAAGAAAGGTTGAACTAGATCATCTCTAAGGTTTCTTCCAAGTTCAAAGTCTTACCGTCCTTCTACTTCACAAGACCTAGTATCAGAACTGGCCAGTGCCCCGAGAAGGGCACTGGGGACCAGCGTGAGAGGGCGCTCCAGAAGGACAGACTAAAAAGACAAGGGCTCGATCTGGGAATACAAAGGGGAGCAAATCAAGCTCTGCTTATGAAAGTTGTGCAGAGGCACCATGCTAAATATATAACAAGGAGGCATCCCTTGAAACTTGAAAGAAACAAATTTAGATGCCAACAAAAAGAAATATTGGCTGAAAATGTTAACAAGTTGGGAAAAAGTAAGTTAACAGATGGCAAAGTCAAAATGAGCTTTTGAAGGAAGCAAGATGTTTTGGGGCATTGTCTCACCCCTTTGTTTTTAATATGAGGGAAGACTGCTCTGCCCTCCCTCAAATACCCTGAAGTCTGTGTCAAGAGTTAGGGCTGGAAGGCCTGTGCCTGAAGTTTGTGTTCTCTCCCCAGCTCTTTATCACTGTGATGGATAAACTGCGTTTGGAAATCCGTGCCATGGATGAGGTGAGATGTCTATAAGGGGACATTGAGAGTGAAAGTGGTAGAAGGGAATGCTCTTATTTAGGGAGGGCCTGGCTCTGTAGGGCGCTCTGTCTTCTGCAAGACAGGCTGTGAGCTGAGTGCTGTACATGTTAGAAGAAGCTTCAGCGGTTGGGTGGGAATGGAAAGGACGGGTAATCCTCCCTGAATCTGAAATACGGACTGCAGATCCAGCCTGATCTTCGAGAATTAATGGAGACCATGAACCGCATGAGCCACTTGCCTCCTGACTTTGAGGGTCGACAGAAAGTCAGCCAGTGGTGAGTGTCCCCTGAGAGATGGCCTGGAAGTGGTGGGTTACTGGGAAAGCGGGCTGAACTGTCTGTGGGAGAGTCACCTGAGAATCTCCCAAGTGGCAGCATCCTGAAGAGCAGAACAACTGGCCAGTTTTTAACACCTCCGTGCCGTTAAGAGCTTCAGAGGGGAAAGTCTAGTTTCTGAGCCCTTGTGGGAATAGCTCCTCCCAGTGACCCTTCTCTCTTCCCACAGGCTACAGACCTTGAGTGGCATGTCAGCTGCAGATGAGCTGGACGATTCTCAGGTCCGACAGATGCTGTTTGATCTGGAGTCTGCCTACAATGCCTTCAACCGCTTTCTGCACGCCTAAACCCAGAACTCTTGGTCCGTCCCACTCCGCTATAGTTTGAGACCCAGGGCTGGGACCATGGTTTACAGGGCTAGGATCCCTGAATTGTGGGGTAGGACCCTAGAATAAACTGCTCATTTCCCCCCCCTTTCTTCCAGCTTGGTGGGGTAGGGATTGGGAGGGGACCTGTCTCAGGGTTACATGAGAATGCTTTTCCTTCACCACTTCCTTGAGAAATAATTGTAAGTGGTGACCTAGGGTTCATTCACACCAGAGCATTCTGCTTGAACTGGCCCCAGCCCTTATAACCCAGGGTGCATTAACACAGTCACTCTAGCTCACAGATAGTGTATGAGCCAAGTCAGCAAGGGCTCTTAGGTTCCTTGGAAAGTGCTTTCTCTTCCTCTTCTTTCCAAGTCCACATAACCCACATCTAATCTCTCTTCCTTGGAAGGGGGTGGGGGTGGGGGGGAAATGTGTGTGGGGCTAAGTAAGTAGTATCCTATCTTGTCCCACTGGTCTCCCAGAATAAAGACTGTACCCTCTATCTGGAGTCAAGATGACCTGGGTTCAAATGCAGCCTCAGACACGAGTGCGTGATCCCTGAATAAGTCACTTAACCTCTCAGTCTCAGTTTCCTCAGCTGTAAAATAGGGATAATAGCATCCACCTCACAGGGTTCTTATACAGATCGACTGAGATGATGATTGTAAAGAGCTTAGCACAATACTTGGCATATAGTAAGTACCATATAAATACTTATTCCCCTCCCCTTTAAATCTCCTAATGCACTGGAATGAAGTGCTAGAACTTAATTCATACACATTAGACTTCTTGAGACTTTTAAAATTCTCTACCCTTTTCTGTACACTGACAGGGAAGGGTCTGCTGAACCAAGTCAACTCCACTTCCCTAAAGCATTCACAAAGTCAGATGCTTGTCTTTTTGTCTTGATCCTCCTGGACTCGGTACAGTCTGGAGCCTAGAGGAAGTTCACTTGGTACTCCAAGGCTGCCCCTGCCCCATCCATAAGAGCAGAGTCTAGGCATAAAAATATTAGCTGATGTGAATTAAGAGTCTACATCACTGTACCCAGTCTGATAACCTCCAAGATCTTCCATTCCAAGGGAAATCTGACTCTGATGTGGTTCCCATTCAACCTAAGTTTCTACTATCTGCCTGTGGTTCTGACCTCTGTCAGTATTTAGGGCAATGCATAGTCCTCCCTTTGTGAGCAGAAAAGGCTCTATCTAGGAGCTCCGACTCCTGTTCTCCTTGGGCAGTTGGCCTTGATCCTAAGCTGCTATGTATCCCAACCCCCAGAGAGGGAAACAGGATCATTCTTGGTGCTGGTGTTTTCTCTAGCAGAGAGGGTAGATTGGTTAGACCACTTTAGTAGGGAGTTCTGCACTGGATGGGTGATCAGATTGGGTGACCCCTCTAAGATCTCTTTCCAGCTCTGATCTGTGAATGTTAGACTGTGGCCTGCAATGCTTGTGTTCTTGAATTTGAGGTGAACATGAGCCCCTTCACACAAGAAACCTTGATGATGACTGAACAGCTAGACACGGTAGAGATCACTAGGTTATTAACATTAGAAGGACCAGGTTCATCAGTTGACAAAATTTGTTATTACAATTTTATTTTGAAATAAAAATGTTTATTCTATCTTATTTCTTCTGCCTTATGGATTTAAAAAAAATGCTCTGTGTCAATCCATGCAGCTTTAGTCTTTTGAGATACTCTTAAATTCTGGTCCTTCTAGTCCTAAGTAGGGGGTGAAAAAACTAAGGCCAGACCTAAATGAGACTAATTTTTTGAATGTTAAATATTTTCAGAGTGGCCAATCCCAGCCTCACTATGGGCAGATTCCCCACGTGGAGGGATGAGGGACTAGATTTGTCTGCAAAAGTTGGTTGACCTTTCTGTGACCTCCATATCACTTTTTATCTCTTGTTCACCACACGTCCATCAACAGATAAGAGTTTAGAAAATCTTTCCAATCTATCTTTACCCCTCTTTCTTTTTCTCATTGCATTTTTCCTCTTCTCTCAGACCTCTCAGGGGTCAACAAGCATTTATTCCCCCCAGCCTAGGTATTAAGAGGAACTGAAAGTAGAAATATAAATACATGGTCTATTCTTCAAGGAGCTTTTGGTCACATTTTAAAAAATTTATTATTTTCTGATGAGCATTCTCTCCCACTCCTCAGTTGAGATGGTAAGCCGAACAAAACCTCTGTTACAAACATACATAGTCGAGCAAAACAAATTCCCCCTCTTCTCTACCCCCTCCTCCCCCAGTGGCCATAAAAAAAAAAAGAGTCTCGCTCTCTAGTCTGAGTTTATCACCTCTCTCTCTCAGGAGGTTGATAACGTGTCCCATCTTGTGTTCTCTGTATTGTGGATGGTCATTATGCTTATCAGAGTTCCAAAGTCTTCGAAAATGGTCTTTATGATATTGCTGTTACATAAATTATTCACCTGATTGCTCACTTGCCTCTGTTTCGGGTCCCACAAGTCTTTCCAGATTTCTCTGAAATCATCCCCTGCATCATTTCTTACAGCACAGTACTATTACATTATATTTCCTATACTATAACTTGTTCAGCCATTCCCCAGTTGATGGGCATACCCTCGATTTCCAATTCTTTGCCACCAAAAAAGAGCTGTTGTAGTTATTTTTGTACATATGGGTCTTTTTCCTCTTTCTTTGATCTCTCTGGGGTGTAGATGTAGGTATAGCTGGGTCAAAAAGCGTATCACTTTTGAATCACTTTTGGGGCATGATTCCAAATTGCTTTTTGGAATAGCTGGACCACCAGTGGTGCATTGATGTACTTGTTTTCCCAAAGCCCTTTCAGCATTTGTCATTTTCCATTTTTTGTCAGCTTTACAACATAAATGGTTTAAATGTGCATTTCTTTAATTATTAGCAAACTACAGTATATTTTCATGTGGTTATCGTTAGCTTGGGTTTCTTCCTTTGAAAATTCATTTCATAGTCCTATCATTTGAGTACTTATCAGATGGGGAGTGGCTTTTATTCTTATAAATTTGAATCAGTTTTCTATAGAAATGGATCCTTGCCAGCTGTGTAATGATTTAGGAAACCACAGATTAACATTATTATCTATGTTGTATTTTTATTTTGTATTTTGTTAAACATTTTCCAATTCGATTTTAATCTGGTTCAGGCTACAAAGGGCAATTTTGAGGGTGCAGGAGTTTGACGCCTTTGCCTTGTATTATCTCAGCCAGGTGGTGCAGTGGACAGAGTGCTGGGACTAGAGTCAGGAGCTCAGTTTGGATTTGAGATCAAATCCAGTCCTCAGTCACTAGCTGTGTGATCCTGGACAAGTCATTTGACCTCTGTGAGCCTCAATTTCCTCATCTATAAAATGAGGATAATAATAGCACCTACCTCCCAGGGTTGTCATGAAGATCAAAACAGACTTTGCAAGCCTTAAAGCACTGTATAAATGCTAGCTATCATCATCATCATCATTATGATTACTAAATGAGACCTTTATCAAAGAAATTTGCTGCAGGGATTTTTCCCCCCATTTACTCACCATTCTGATTTTAGCAAAAATTTTGTACAAAAATTTCATAGTCTTATGTAATCAAAATTCTCCATTTTACCTTCTTTGCTCCTCTGATTTTGTTGATGCCCAGCTTCCTGTCTAAGTCATATTCCAATCTGGATGCTTTTGGTATTGAATATGAGCTTTTGGTTTATACCTAGTTTCTGCCATACTGCTTTCTTTTTTCCCAGTACTTCTCGCTGCAGTAGCTAGGATATTTGGATTTGTCGCACACCAAGTTACTGTACTCATTTGCTTCTGTGTGTTGTGTGCCTAATCCTTTCCACTATTCAGCCTCTGTTTCTTAGCCAGCACCCAGTTATTTGGGTGATTACTGCTTTGAAGTGTAATTTAAGGCCTGCCTAGGCCTCTTTCCTTCCCCCTTTTTTTCATTAATTCACTTGACATTCTTGATCTTTTCTTCTCTTTTTTTTTTTATTTTAGGCAATTGGGGTTAAGTGACTTGCCCAGGGTCACACAGCTAGTAAGTGTCAAGTGTTTGGTCTGAGATGGGATTGGAACTCAGGTCCTCCTGACTTCAGGGCCAGTGCTGTATCCACTGTGCCACCTAGCTGCCCCTGATCTTTTCTTCTTCAAGATGAATTTTGTTATTTTTTTCTAGCTCTATAAAGTAATCCTTTGGTAGTTTTCTCCTCTCTCTGGAGGTGGATAGCTTTTTATCATCATTTCATTCCATTTATTAAAACTTTTAACTCTTGCCTCATCTCTTCCAAGAATTCTAGTTGGGTTTGGGCTCAATCTGTGTTTTTCTTGGGGGCCTTGCTTCTGATCTGTCAGAGTCATTCTCTTTTTCTGCCTTTGTGTCACAAAGCAGCCCTGCCTACATAATAGCCCATTATGGTGGGGTTACTTTTTTGTTGGCCCATTCTTCTAGATGCCTTCCTGACTTTGGATTTTAGGTTAGGTCTGGGCTTTACAGCACTAATGGAGGAAGGGTCTAGCTGGGTTTGTTGCTGCTTTAATGGAGTGTTGGTTCATTCTAGGATCTCGGGAACAGACTGATGATCTGCAAGCTTTCGGTGTTCTCAAAGTGGTCAGAATGCAGCTAGAATGCTCCTCGACATGCTGCTGGCCAGACCACATTTCTAATGTCCGCAGACCTCTCTGCCTCCCTGTGTTAACTTGGACTGGAAAAGTGACTTTTTTTCCTTGGCTTTCCCAATCAAGATTCAGGCTGATGCATTTCTTAGATCTTGGTGGAGTTGTCTTGGAGTAGCTGAGCTATATTTCTTCCTGCTTCTCCGTCACTTTGTCTGGTCTCCTAGTGTCATTCATTTTAACACTTTTTAAATGCTTCCTGTGCGCTCAGGAAAAGTGCCACCTTCAGGAAGCCTCCCATATTTGTTAATGCCCACTCCCTCCTGAAATTATTTTGTGTTTATGTATCCGTATACATTTATATGTCCCCTGGAAGACTGTAAGCTCTTTGAGGGCAGAAACTGTTTTGCTTTGGAGTTTTTACATATTTGAGGCACTTAGTAAATGATTGTTTAGTTATGTGTGCAGGGCACTTTGCAAGGAAAGATTAAAACATCAAGTAAGCCCACCTGCCTGTGTGTCTGGCTTCCAACTATGTGCCATAACCTCTGCCTGTTCCTACTTGCCTCTCTACCTTCCCAAAGTCCATGGGCAAATTTGCATTAAGTAAAAATCATTTTACTAAGAGGTCTGCAGAATGTCTCATGTAGGTAAAGTGAAACCTGTGTGTGTGTAAAGACAGGCACACACACACACACACACACACACACACACAGCAAGTGGGGGTTGGTACCTGAAGTAAATCCAGGTGTTTCCCGAAGGCTAAGCATTCCAGGTTTTGAGGGTAGCCCTGATAAAGGTGTGGAGGCAGGAAATGAATGTTCTTTATGAGAAACAGTCCTGGGAATAGGAAAGGAAGCTATGTGGAACCATTCTAAATAAGTTGGAGTCAGTTTGTAAAAGGCTTTAAATGCCAGACAGAGGAATTTATATTTGCCCCAAAGGCAACAGGAAGCTTCCTAGGGTTTTTGAGCAAGGAAATTATTTGGTCAGACCTGTACTGATGTTTAAGTTATCCTTAGAGTTTATAAGTTACTTCTTTCTCTTTTCTTCACCTATATATTCACTGATACTTTTTGCCAAGTTATTATAAACAGTCATCAGTAGGACTAATGAAACATGTAAAATAAAAAATGGAATGTTCCATAAAATCCTTAGCATAGTATATTAGATACTTTAACAAATTGACAAATTTGTTCTCCTCATGTCTAACACTTGGCTTTGTTTTCCTATTGTAGTTAATGTATATATTGTTCTGCTCCTGTTAATCTTACTTTGCATCATTTCATTCAGGTCTTTCCATGTTTCCTTTTATCCTTCATATTTATGTTTTGTAGTGCCACTGTATACCAGAATTCAGCCATTGAACAGAGGTTGTTTCCAGTTTCTCAGTGTTACAAATAAAGAGCAATTAGTATTTGTATGTGGGTACTTTTTTGTGATATATTAAGGAAAAAGTTCTGGCAATGAAATAATTGAATCAAAGTATATCTATTTTATATTGCCACTTTACCCTCTAAAGAGTGGGACTCTGCAATACAAGGATCTGAGACATCTCCAAAGGCTTTGTAATGGAAAATGCTATCCGCATCCAAAGAAAGAACTATGGAATTTGAATGCAGATCGAAGCGTACTATTTGCTATTTTTTCTAGCTATTTTTTTAATATAAATTTATTTGTAGTTTTCAACATTCATTTCCGCAAGTTTTTGAGTTTCAAATTCTCACCCTGTCTCACCCTCCCCCACCCCAAGATGGCATGCATTCTGAATATCCCTTCCCCTAGTCTGTCCTCTTTTCTTTCTCTCCCCCTTCTCTTATCCCCTTCCCCTTCTATTTTCCTGTAGGGCAGGATAGACTTCTGTACCCCATTTCCTGTATTTCTTATTTCCTGATAGCATGTGAAAACTTTTTTTTAAACATATGTTTTTAAAACTTTAGGTTTCAAATTTTCTCTCTTCCTCCCTCCCCACCCACCCTCATTGAAAAGGCAAGCAACTCAATATAGGTTGTACATGTGCAGTTATGCAAAACACTTCCATAGTAGACATGTTGTGAAAAACTAACTCTATTTCCCTTAATCCTATCCTGCCCTCCCATTTATTCTATTCTTTCTTTTGACCCTGTTCCTCCTCAGAAGTATTTACTTCTGATTACACCCTTTTCCAATCTGCCCTCCTCTCTATCATCCCCTGCTCTCTTGTCCCCTTCTCCCCTATTTTCTTGTAGGGTAAGACAATTCCATACCCAATTGAACGTGTATGTTATTCCCTCCTTAAGCCAAATCCTATGAGAATAAGATTTACTCACTCCCTCTCACCTTCCCCTGCTTCCCCTCCACTGTAAGAGACTTTTTTTCTGTTTTTTTTTGTGAGATAATTTACCCCATTCTACCTCTCCCTTTCTTCTTCTCTGAGTATAATCCTCCCTCATCCCTTAATTTTATTCTCCAGATATGACCCCTTAATCTTCAACTCACCCTGTGCCCTCTATCTATCTATCTATCTATCTATCTATCTATCTATCTATCTATATAATCATATAATTTTTTCCTCCAACTACCCTAATACTGACAAAGGCCTCATGAGTTATAAATATCATCTTTCCATGCAGGAATGTAAACAGTTCAATCTTAATAAGTCTCTTATGATTTCTCTTTCCTGTTTACCTCTTCATGTTCCACTTGAGTCCTGTATTTGAAAGTCAAATTTTCTATTCAGCTCTGGTCTTTTCATCAGGAATTCTTGAAAGTCCTCTATTTCACTGAATGACCATTTTTTCGCCTGGATTATACTCAGTTTTGCTGGGTAGGTGATTCTTGGTTGTAATCCTATCTCCTTTGCCCTCCGGAATATTATATTTTTTTTCCCTCTTCTGTTGAGTTTTGTTTTCTCTTTCTGGTGGTTCCTTCTATTGGGTTTGAATTCTTACTTACAACATCACTAATGTGAAAATATGTTTAATAGGGAATGTGTATGTATGGCCTATATCAGATTGTGCACTATCTTGGGGAAGGAGGTGAGGAGGGAGGGGGAGAAAAACTTTAAACTCAAAAGCATATGGAAGTGATTGTTGATAAAATAAATTAATAAAAAAATTTTTAAAAAAAGAGTAGGACTCTGCATTCCCACTGACAACCTAATGGAACTCTTTCTTTCTCCCTAGACCCACCAATGTTGAATCTTGTGTTTTGCTTTTGTTACCTTTATTTTTTTTTGCCATTCCAAATTTTATTCTTTTTTTTTAACTTAATAGTATTTTATTTTTTCCAGTTACATATAAAGATAGTTTTCAAATTTTGAATTCCAAATTTTTTTCTCCCCCTCCAAGACAGCAAGCAGTCTGATATAAACTATACATGCATAATCATATTAAACATATTTCCACATTATTCATATTGTGAAGGAAGAATAAGAACAAAAGGGAAAAACCATGAGAAAGAAAAAAAATAAAATAGTATTCTTCGATCTGCATTCAGACTCCGTAGTTCTTTCTCTGGGTGGGGATGGCATTTTCCATCACGAATCTTTCAGAATTGTCTTAGATCATTGTATTGCTAAGAAGAGCTAAATCTATCAAAGTTGATCATTGCTGTTATTGTGTACAATGTTCTCCTGATTCTGCTCACTTCACTCAGCATCAGTTCATGTAATTCTTTTCAGGTTTTTCTAAAATCTGCCTGGTGCTCATTTCTTATACAATAGTATTCCATTACATTTGTATACACAACTTGTTCAGCCATTCCCCAATTGATGCACATCCTCTCAATTTCTAATTCTTTGCCACCACAAAAGGAGCTGCTATAAATATTTTTGTACATGTGGATCCTTTTTCCTTTTTTATGATCTCTTTGAAATACAGAGCTAGTAGTGGTATTGCTGGATCAAAGGGTATGCATTGTGTTACCCTTCTTGTGCAGGTAAGGTTTAGGTTTAAGTTGTCTTGGTTGGCATTTCTCTAATTGTTAAGGAATTTGAGCAGGTTATTTATTACTCTCATAGATATCTGTTTCCAAATAGAGGTTAAGCTTTTGAATGTAATACCTGCAGTTTTCCTCAGCAATTTTTTGTATCTTTAGGCACCAAAGAAAGATGGAAAAGACTCAGGGTTACCATAAAAGGCATCTGCCACTTCTAACACTTTCTAGCACCCTTGGGCTTCTTTGGGAGTTTGCTCTTAATGACTGGAATTTTGGGAACCCAAACTAAAGTATTGAATGGCTAGGAGGTGAGTGCCCTTTTCTAGAATTAATGTTCACCAAGCTATGGGCCAGAAAGATGTGATTATGCTGTCCCACACAAGATGGGGGAAGCTGATGTATGATGAGAGTGCTTCCCTTTCCCCCTGTGACTTTGATTATCAGGGGGATGCTTCTTTCTGAAGGTCTTGTGGTACATAGGTCACTCTACCCATTTCCTACAAGAAGAGTTAGGCATAACGCTAAAGAGTGAGGGGAAGTTTGCCTAGGTTTATCCTGCTGCCCAGATGTAATGACTGTAGAAACCAATGGTCCTTGTCCTTATGCAGACCAAGAGTCTTGGACTGGATTGTGTTTCTGCAGTTGCATTCATTGCTAAATAAATCATCTGCATGCAACTACTCAGTACCATTATTCTACCATGACCCCAAAAACGATGGCAAGAAGCTTCTTGTAGGCTGTTCTACTTGACTTAGAACAAGACGATATCCCAGGACCTGGTCAGGATGTGTTTGGAGAGGGAATGGGGTGAATAATGATATCATTGCAACAAGGTATGCCCCTCCATCTGGAAGTTTTGGGTGTCTAGTTGGCTGGCTTATTTGAATTCTTGGAGCCAGACACTCCTAAGGAGAGACTGACCCCATCTGATGACTGATGACTTGCCCCTTCCTCTGGTGCCCCGACATGCTGAGCTGGCTAAATAGTGCCCGATAAAACCAGGCGGGCAAAGGCCACAAAAGCAAGTGGCAGGGAGAGGCCGATACAGCAAGAGGGCTTGGCAAGAAATACCCTAGATTCGACCCTTCGCTTCCTAGCCCACCTTCCCCCGCCTTTGGACATTTCCTTGGACCTTTGTCCTCAGTAAGCCCAGCTTCGAGGCAGCCACAGACAATGATTACCACTGCAGCCTCAGACACTCTAGAGAAGGAATTGTCATTATTCTGGTAAAATAAAGGCTGTCTTCTGTTCCCCCCTCCCCTGAGATCTACCACCATGCTCATGTCCATGTATGTGGGAGCTGGAAGCAGTGGTTTCTTAGCACCCCTCCCCAAACCCCCCTCCCCTAGGATACCTTATCCCTCATATCCTTGATTTCCCAGTGTTCCCATATACACGCCCATAAAAAGTATGGCTGTACTGAGACCTCATCCATGGGACACAGGCTCCCAATTAGAGCATGTGGACAGTAACTAACAGCCAGCAATGAATTTCTTGTCTTCCCTAATCATGCCCCAGATCTCTATCTCTGGCTCTGAGAACAGCACTCTGGGAACAGCAGCAGCAGAAGCAGTTTCTGCCTTCCCTGAGTGAGAGCAATACACTTGGAACCCCTAACCAATGTCCCTGAATTCCCCCTCAGATTAGCTCAAGGTCCTTGACTCTTCTTTGTGGAGCTGGCTCTCAGGATGTCTGAGCAACACCTTGCTCAGGATTCTGGTGATCTCCCCCTAACTGACCATTCTAAGGCCCTTGACCCAAAACTTCTACCCCATCAACTAGCCAGAGACCCTGAGAGTCCCTTCACTATTAACCAGCCCAAGATTCCTACCCACCTCCTCTCCTCAAATATACTGGAGAAGGACAAATATTACAAGACAAGATGGTAATCTTGGAAAGAAGGATAAGACTTTTCTGTTAGACCCAAGACAGCAAAACAAAAGACAAAAGGTGGGCCTTGTAAAGAGTCGCAAAGCTTGATAGCAGGATAAACTTCCTCTAAATCTGGAAAGGAGATAATGCATTTTCTCCTACCAGTAAGTCTTTAAGAGAAGATTGAATGTCCACTTGGGTGTGCAATAGAGGGAATTCTTTTCAGGTATTCATTGGGTTACAAGGTCTGTGAGGTCCCTCCCACTTCTGACCCTTCCCCAATTGTACTCAGTTCCTAACAACCAGGTCAACTTCCTGCACCCCAACCCACATTCCTGTCCACCCTTCCCTGCCCCCTAGGCTGTGGTATTTAGAATTGTGAAAGAGGGGCAGCTAGGTGGCACAATGGATAGAGCACCGGCCCTGGATTCAGGAGGACCCGAGTTCAAATCCGGACTCAGACATATAACACTTACTAGCTGTGTGACCCTGGGCAAGTCACTTAACCCCATTGCCTAGCCAAACAACAACAACAACAACAAATAGAATTGTGAAAGAATGGAAATGAAATGGCAAAATTCAGGAATTCTAGTTGCCTCTCCTAGACTGCTTCTACTCATGTCCTAGAAAGGGTTTGGGGAGGGGGGAAGTGGGGAAAGGAGAGAATGGATGCTCCCTGCCCAGTGCTGGGAGACCCCAGGGAATTGTGTGCTCTGGTTCCTGGGCAGCAAAACCTCCTTTCCTCTAGCCCCTCTCCCTTCTCAGAGTTGAATGAGCTCCTGGGTAGTCCTGGGAGGAGACCCTGAGCTGTCCCCAGCTTGGTGGGGAAATTCAGGCTTTCATGGTTCTCAGTTAACATAGATGAGAGGAACAGATCTCACAGGACAAAGGGCTGCATAACAAGAAGAAGCCAGAGGGGAAGGAAGGAAGGAAGGAAGGAAGGAAGGAAGGAAGGAAGGAAGGAAGGAAGGAAGGAAGGAAGGAAGGAAGGAAGGAAGGAAGGAAGGAAGGAAGGAAGGAAGGAAGGAAGGAAGGAAGGAAGGAAGGAAGGAAAGGGAGAGATTTTGCATGAGGTCATGGTCTTGGGAAATAATCCTTCAGGTCCGTGAAACAGAGGGGAAAGGGTAGGGACAAACACATTGAAAGTTGAGGCTCCCCAAAAAAGAGGGGAGTGAAAGCCGGGTGCTGGGAGAGGGAATGAGGAGATGAGGGGCTGGATAGTTCTGACTGTTCTATCTAGGGAGGGTCAACTGCTGGAATGGTTAACCTGGGGCCATCTGAGCAGCAGCCAATCACAGTGCCTGGCAGGAAATACCTGCTTGGGAGATTCCCCAAGAATCCTACAACCCAGCCCTGCCCTGGCCCAAGACTTCTTGTGGCCAGCTGCAGTACAGTCGTCTTCTTTCTCCTCTTCCTGAGACCAAGATCTGCACCGGGAGGCCCCCATTCCCCTCTTCAACCAGGCCCCCAAAGATCCATAGTCTAGCCCCCCAAAACCCCACCTTCACCTCCAGGAAATCTTTAGCACCCCTCTTCCCTGAAACCTACCCTGATCTTTGTCAAGAGTCTTCTGGAAACCTGAGCTATGCGGAGTGTGGTCTGTCTCTGGCTGGGGGCATGGCTGGGGATAGCCCTGGGGACAACCCCAACACCTACCAGCTTACTGACCATCCTCACCTCCAACCAAAGTTCTATGGACCAGAATGCCCTGGGCTCCTTGTTAAATAGACTGGCGGCCCGTGTGCACTGCCTAGATGAGCCGTGTGGAAAGGTAAGAGACAGCAAGGATAAGGCCTTAACCTCCCTCTGCCTTACCCCACCCCTAACTAGGGCCGGGAGCAAAGGGGACAAATTCCAAGAGGAAGGGAGGGAGGAAAGGAGGCAGAGAGGAAGGAAGGGGAGAAGATAGGAGAGGATGAGACATGGGTGTCTCGGCAGTCAGGAGACAGTTAAGGAAGAATGCTCCAGGAGACAGAAGGGACTGAGAGGGGCCTTAGCCTGGGATGGGAACCAGAAAGGGGGGAGAGGGCCCGAGCCAGACCCTTGCCATCCAGTGCTACCTTAGGAAATGGGGGTGGGAAGAGAGACTAGCAGCCTGTCCTGGGGACGGGTGGGCAGAGTTGGGTTGACTTTCTTTATGGGAGAAGAAATTTCCATGGGAAGAAGAGAGGAGCTTGTGCCATACTAAGGAAGGGAAGCCTGGGGCTCTAAAACAGACTAGTGTCCTTGATTCCCCCTTTTTTTCCTTCCCCCTCGTTTCCCTTTTTGCGTTGAAACTTCAGACTTACCCACAGGGCCCAATCCTCTCCCTCAGATTCTTAGCTGAGAGCCTCAAAGTCACCCTGTTGGCAGAGGTGTGGATGGTGCCTAGGGGCCACTGATTTGTATATTCTCTTGCCCTCTCCTCTGAGCAAGAGGCTGCAGTGAGTCTCCCATCTGCATTCATGAGCAAATGGGACAGCTGGCCCTGTGTGTGTGTGTGTGTGTGTGTGTGTGTGTGTGTGTGTGTGTGTGTGTATGTGTGTGTGAATGAAAGGAAGTCCATGTATATGTGAATGAAAGGAATCCCGTATGTGTGTGTGTGTATATGTATGTGTGTGTGTGAGTGAGAAAGAACTTGTATATATGGGTGGGAGAAGGAGAGAGAAGTTCTTCCATGTATGAGAAAGATGGAGCTTGGATTGAAGAAAAATTATCAACAGCAGTCTTATATGTGTGTTAGACAACTATGGGATGTGGCTTCCTTGGGTGTGAGAGAGGCTTCCCACGTGAGTTCTCTGTGTATGTGTGTGAATGGGGGGGTGAGAGAGACACCCTGACATCTTTTTCTGTGACGGAAGCTTTACGTGTGTAAGAGGAAGACATGGCACCTTCATACGGGGGAGGGCGACAAAGCTCCAAGCCCTTTGTGTGAGAGAGTACTTTATGTCTGTGTGAAGGAGAAAGATGGAGGCAGAGGGGACAGCGGCTCACAGAGTCACGTGTATCTAGGTCTACAGTAGGCCTTCCCACCTGTGAGGTCCTCCCTTCCTTTCTACTGCTCTTAGTTGGAGAGCACAGGAGCCCACGTTCCCCAGCTGCCTGACTCGATGCCTGGAGGTGTGTCTGGCACATGCCATGGCCTCATCCTGGGAGACCTATGTGTAGCTTAGAGTCAGGGAATGGTAGAGGCAGGATATGGGGTGGGGGGAAGACAGGGACTCAGAGGAAAGATGGGGCCAGCCAAGGGGAGGACCGAAGACGAGGAATCCTAGCCTTTTCTTCTCCTGAGGTGGGGCAGTGGATAGAGAGCTGGGCCAAGAGTCAGGAGTTCAAATTCCACCTCAGACAATTGCTAGCTGCCTGACCCTGGGCAGGTCACTGAACCTCTGTCTGCCTCAGTTTTCTCAACTGTATAATGGGGATAATAATAGTACTTACCTCACAGGGTTGCTGTAAAGATCAAATGAGATAATATTTGCAAAAATTGCTTTTTAAATGCTTCTTCCCCAAACTACCTTGATTACTACCCTGACTTCTAGGACTGTCTTTTCCCACCTGCAGTGCATGACTGTGGAGAATGCCCTGGCCCTGGCGGGGCAGGGTTGGATTCTGAGTTCCCAGAATGTGACCCAGTTCTGTGCCGGGATCGCTCTCTACCTGAGGGATCCAGAGGGCACTTGTGCTGCTATTCAGGTTGGCAGCTGGGGCTCCCACGCAGAGAGCCTCCTGGCTTCGTTGGCTTCTGCCGGGGCCAATTACCCCAACATCCTGAACCGACTTCTTCAGCAGATCCAAGGGCGCTACCATGGAGAGCCAGGCAAGGTGAGGACGTGGTCGTATCAGGAGAAAAGCACAAGGCATGTGAAAGGGAAGAGCCCTGCGCTTGAGCCCCAGCTGTGTGTGACCTTGGGAGTATCTCTGTCCTTCTTTCTGGACCTGTTTCAACCATCTTTAAAATGGGGGGGGCAGGGTTTGGACTCTGAGCTAAGGTGCTTGGACTATCTTGTAGGCAGTGGGGAACCACTGAAAGTTTTATAGGAGGAAGTGACGTGGGACAACATGATCTCTAAGGTGCTAGCAGCTCTAAATCCTAATACCGTGTGGAGTGGGAAGATTGTTCTTCAAACTTTTCAAAAGTTGATTTAGAGAGGGGAGGCCCTGGAGGCTGGCAGAGAGGCTACAACAACAGTCGAGGCCAGAGGTCGAGGGCCTGAAGTAAGCCAGTAGCAGTGTGAATCAAGAAGATGGATTTGAAAAGTGTAGAGACAGTATCAAAAGGTCTTCAGAACTGAAGCTCAGAGAGAAGGTGGCTGAGTTTCAAACCTGGGTGACTAGGCACATGGTACCAGAGGAACAGTTTCAGGGGGAAAGGTAAGAAACAAGTTGAGTTAGGGACATACATATGAAGTTGGATATGCTGGTGGAGATAATCTTAGGTCACTAGACATGTGGGGCTGGAGTTTGAGAAAGAGATCAGGGCTTGAAATGCATACTTTGGGGCTATCTGCATTCCCTAATTCTCACCCTCTACTTCTCCATAAGCAAACAACCCTGTTCCCCGGCCGCCCCCCCCCCCAGCACGGTGGGGAGAAGAAGTAAGTGGGCTAGGGTGGGGAGGGGCCTGAGCTCTGGTCTCTAATCCACAGAGTTGTGTGGACATACACCAGATTTTGGAGGAAGCAGCAGGAGCCCAGGGGACTGAAAGCCAAGATCCAAGCCTGGCTCTGGCTGTCCTCCTGGACCATGCCCTAGCTGGGTCCAGCTTCCAGGTCCTGCCCAGTCCCCAGTACTTCATTGATTTCGTCTTCCGGCATCATGGCAATGAGTCACAGAACCTCACTCTATCTGGTAAGGAGTATGAGATGAAAGGGAGGGATTGAAAACAAATATGGACCTCAGGGTAGGGGGGGTCTCCAGATGGGATCCTTAGGGAAAGCTTTGTTTGACCTCTGGGTGTAGAAGGGTTTGGATTCAGGAAGAAAGAAGACTTATGGGAGAAAGGCCCTAGAGGGGTAGGAATGGAATAACAGGTTTAGGAATAGGCCCTTGGGGGCTAAAGTATCCAACCCATCCCAGTCAGCATGAAGAGAGGGTAATGTACCTTTCAGTGCCTGTTATCCACACATCTCTCCACCTCTCTCTTTCCCTCCTTCCCAATCCTTGATTCAACTTAGCCCAGCATTTATTAAGCACCCACAGCATGAAAAGATCACTGCGCTCAGTCCAGATATTCCTGGAGAAGTGGGGCAGTCCTGGAAAGCTTCCTGAAGGCAGAGGCAGTTGAGGGGGATGTTGGGGGTATAGAAGAAGAGAAGGAGCTGAGGCTAACAGCAGCACCCTCCTTTCCCTACCCAGAGCTGCAGGCTCTGATGAGCCAGCTGCATGTGGGGAAGGAGGCTGAGGTCCATCCCCATGACAGTGATGAAGAGCACCAGCGCAGTCACAGAGAGCACAGCCTGGAAGGGAGGGCCAGCTACCAGCCAAGGGCTTCTCAAAAGGCCGAAGTGGGGGACTCTGACAGCGTATGGGACACGGTAAGTCAGGAAGAAGAGGAGTAGGAGAAGAGAGGAAAGCAGTGGAGAAGTACTTTTCCCCTACTTCCTAACTCCATTCCCGTCTCTGCCCCTAGGTATGCCTGAGTGCCTCTGATGTCCTGGAGGTGTATGGGATATCAGAAAAGGAAGGCGTGTCCCCAGATGCCTGGGCCCAGCTCAGCCCAGCCCTACTCCAGCAGCAGCTCAGTGGGGCCTGCGTATCTGTCCACTCCTCCACCGAAGGGGACCTCAGTGTCTCCAAAAGTGAGTGTCACCCACTAGAGGCTGGCCTCCGGTGCTGAGACCACAGAGACCTCATCCCTCTCAGTCCACATTCACCCGGCTTGGCCTTCCTTTTGTCCTTCTCTTGCCACCTGAGGGGAGCTGGGTGAGAGGGCAGGTAGTCTCTTAGTCCATTCACTGCCCAGCCTCAACCACCGTCCAGTCCTACTAGAATATCACCTGGCCATAGCAACAAAGGTTGTGGGAACAGGCAGCCACAGAGAATCTATCCCCTGGGAGAGAACGGCTCCGTGAGTGACCGTTCAAGAGGCAGGACTGATCCCAGGTTCTCCTGACCTCCAAATTCGGCACACCATGCACTATGCAAGGGGTGGGGAACCTGCAGCCTTGAGGCCACATGTGGCCTTTTAGATCCCCAAGTGCGGCCAGTCAAAAAAGGCCACGGGCACCCCTGCACTAATGCTACATCTCCTCTCTCCTCCAAGAAAAAGCTTCCCAATAATTAGAGCCTAGCCAAAACGGAATGGGTTGCCTTGAAAAGTAGTCAGCTCCCTGTCCCTGGAAGTCTTCACAGAGAAGGACTGAGTGGCCACTTGTGTGGAATGTTGCAGAGGACATTTCACCTCAGGTTAAGGTTGGACTAGATGCCTTTTGAGGGTCCTTCCAGTTCTGGAATGCATGACTTACCAGGAAAGAGTGTTCTGTGGCGCACAGGCACTCAATCCCTTTCCACTTTAAATAGATTTTGCATGACTTCCTATATAGAATAGGTATTGTATTGGGTTTTTAATAGGTGGGGGAGAAGTAGAGGGAAGGAGATAATTTGAAACTGAAAATTAAAATATATCTTAAAAAAAGTTTCCACCTTAAAATCTGGACCATTCCTTCCCATCCTTTCTCCCTGAGCTTGGCTCTCCCTGTTCTTCCTGTTTCAACACCTTCCTCATTTCCTCCCTTTTTAAAGATCATTTTTTGGGGGGAGGGCACAGGGTGTTTGCATCACAGTGGGATTCCCAAATCAAGCATCCTTGTTTTGTCCTAACCCTTCCTCTCTCTACCTCTCTCCTATCTCCATCATTTCCAGCATAGAGGGAAAAGAGCCCAAGGTTCCCCATGCATAGGGAAAAGAGGGCAGTGAGTGACTTGTCTGTGCCCACTCCTACCTTCTTCTCATCTACCTGTGCCCACAGGATAGCTCTCTAGCCACAATTCTCATGTGCCTCTGCCCTAGAAGAGGAAGGGACCACAGGTGACCTGTCCTCAGCCCTAACTTCTCCCCTACCTGTACCCACAGAATACCTATATAGCTCCCTAGCCACACTGGTCATCTGCCTCGCCTCTGTCTTTGGCCTGGTGCTTGTGTTCTGTGCCTCCTGCAAAAATGTCTCCCACTATGTCATCCAAACCTTCCTGGGCATGGCCGTGGGTTCCCTCACTGGGGATGCCGTGCTTCATCTCATCCCTAAGGTAGGTCCTCCCAAAGTGCCCCTTGAACTGTCCCCAATTCAGGCCATGACCCCTCCTACAACCCCTCCCCCCACAACTGCCCCCTGAGTCTTAGGACAGTTTAAAAGGTAGGGACCCAGGTGAGGTCTCCCCTTTGCCAGTGCTTACCTTGATCTAGGGTCTGGCTCAACACCTTAGTTTTCTTTTCTTTTCTTTTTTTTGGGGGGGTGGTCAGGGCTAGGCAATGGGGTTAAGTGACTTGCCCAGGGTCACACGGCTAGTGAGTATCATGCATCTGAGGACGTATTTGAACTCAGGTCCTCCTGACTCCAGGGCCAGTGCTCTACCCACTGTACCATCTAGCTGCCCCAACACCTTAGTTTGCAATCCCCCCAGGGATGAGTAAAATGTACCTCTCCCTCTCCACTCTCTGATGACTATCATGTTCCAGCTGCTATGCCCTAGAATCAGTCAACCAATCAGTGAACCCTTATTAAGTGCCTGCTGCATTCCAGGCATTGCGCTAAGTACTGGAGACAGAAAGAAAGGCAAGGGGGCAGCTAGGTGGCGCAGCCCTGAAGTCAGGAGGACCCGAGTTCAAATTTGACCTCAGACCAAACACTGGACACTTACTAGCTGTTTGACCCTGGGCAAGTCACTTAAAAAAAAAAGGAAAAAGAAAAAGAAAGGCGAAAAACATGCACCCTTATGTCTCCCTGGCTCTCTCCCTCCAGGTGCTAGGCCAACATTCCCATGGGGAGGAAAGTGAGCAAGAAAGTCCTGAGCTTGTGTGGCGGCTCTTGGGTGCATTGGGTGGCTTCTATGCCTTCTTCCTCTTTGAGAACCTCTTCAACATCCTGATGTCCCGGAATTCAGAGGTGAGAACACCCCAGCAGTTGAAGAGGTGGTGGGAAAAGGGGAGGGAGAGTGTTTAGGGCTGGGGGTGGGGAGGGCTGACCGAGAGTCAGTGTCTGGGGGACAGAGAGGAGGCAGAGTGTCCCTTGGACTTTGGGGATGGACATCCACTGTCCCTGCAGGATAGAGAGGACAACAGCACCTGCAACCACAGCCACGGAATGTCCCTGCAGCTGGTGACAGATGAACTGTCACACCAGATGCAGCAACAGCAGCAGGAAGGCTCGAGGACGGACCTGGTAATGGCTATGAGTAGGGCCTCCAGACCACTCAGCCAGCATTTGTTAAGACTGGTCAAAATTCTGGTCAAGACAGTGCTAGAGGCTGGGGTTAAAGGAAATAAAGGAAGCATTCCCTGGAGGATGCTACAGCATGCATGTGTAGCAGCAGCCCAGCCTGAGCCTCTGTCCCTGCTTCCAGTCCCAGCCCCAGCCCCTCTCCTGCACAAATTCTAGTTTCCCAAGCCCACCATTCTCTCCTCCCCACTCCCCCTTACTTTCTGAGCCCCTTTCCTGTACAGTGGGGAGGAGGACAATAGCAGGGAATGTTCTAGGCTCCAGGGAGCCCAAAGAGGTTGCTTGAGCTTCCCTGCCTACAGGCAGGAGGACCTCCAGGAAGAAGGGTCACCAGGCTCCACCAAACCACCTCTATGAACCTGGATTGGTTGGGTCATGGCAGGAGCCCCTGTGAGGCCTGACCTCAGAACAACCTCCCTGAGCCTCTGTCTCCCCCCTCTTTCTCCCCAGGTGTCAGATGGGAATCCAGAGCTTTCTGGTGAGGATCACGAAAAAGTGAACCGAGGTAAGCCAGGCACTGAGCAGTCCTCTCTGCCTGGGTTCTGCTGTCCCCCAGCCTTGAGTGTCCCTTCCTCTGTCTTTTCCTCTTCATTTCCAAGCACTGTCCTCATTCTCCATCTCATCCCTTCCAGGGTCATTGCAATAATCTCCCTTCCTTTACCACTGCTACCTCCTCCACATCCTAAAGCTGGGTTTCTCCCTCAGTTCTCCTTTACCAGTGGGATCGTGAGCTTTAAAGCTGGAAGGACCCTTGTAGCCCCTTAATGTTTATGAAATATTTCTTCCTCCACACTCCAGTAAGGCAGACAATGTGAACATCACCCCCATCTTACAGATGGGAAAAGAGAGGCCCAGATAGAAAGTGACTTGGCCAAGGTCAAATGACTAGTAAATGACAAAGCCAGGATTCTAACTCAGGTCTCCTATGGCTAAAACCTACTGCGTCCTTTTCACTACATCACATTTCTAAGGATGGGTCAGGCTCTGAGAGAGGAAGGGATTTACCTGAGGTCACATAGCCGGAGTTTGAACCCTAATAATCTGACACCAAATCAGGGCACTCTTTTTCCACATACCACATTTCCTCTGGAGAAAATTCATACACCTCAGCCCTGTATTCAGGGCTCACCATGACCTGATCTCAAGCTACTGGTCTATGCTGGTCTATTGTCTTTTCACTGAATGTGCCTTGTGGGCTCCTGTATCCATGTCTTTGCTCCCCCCACCTGGAGTGCCCCTCCCAAACACCCCCTCCCCATGCCCTTCCTCCCACCTCTCTACATCTTTCCTCTCTTTCAAGTCTCCATGCTCAGAGAAAGCCTTCCCTGTCTGATCCACTAGTTGGTCTCTCTCTTTTCTGAAGTCTGTCCCATGGTACCATCTTTTCATTTTTGCCTACTGTGTGCTGAAAGAAATACACAGCCCCTGCCTCATGGAACTTAGAATCTAGAAGCAGCAAAAGACACAAACACAGAGATTTGTAATGTTAATTAAGTGCTTTCCAGAGGTACCTGCAGAGTATAAGTGCAATGCTAGGTCTGGGAGAAAAGTTGTTAATAAGCCTGTGGGGAATCAGGAAGACTTAATGGAGGAGATGGCATTTGAAGATGATTCAATTTAATAGATTCCTACTGTGTGTCAGGCGTTGCAGATATACATCCCTTTTATAAAGGAAACAGGCATTACCCTCAAAGATATCATATATAAACCAAAAAGTATATATAAAGTTATACAATGACAGAGAGAGAGAGAGAAGAATGGAGGGAGAGAGAGAGAAGGGAGCCAGAAGGAGAGAGAGGTAGACAGACCAAGGGAGGGAGGGTGAGAGAGATGGAGGGAGGGACAGAAGGGGAGAGAGAGAGAGAGAAGAGAAGAGGAGAGAAGAGGAGATGGAGGGAAGGGGAGAGAGAGAAAGAGAAAGTGAGTACTAATAGCTGATGCAGGAGGTGGAATGTTGAGTTTAGGAATAGGCAGTAGACTAGACTTGCCTGGAATAAAGTATTTGACTTCAAGCCAGGAAGATTTGAGTTCAAATCCCACTTGTTAACTATATGTTCCTGGGCAAATCATTTAGCCTCTTTCAGACGGTTTCCTGAGACTGTCTACATATTCAGCGGTAGTAGTCAGTTAGTTTGACTGAACAGAGAGTAAGTGAAAAGGAATACTATGAAATAATAATGAAGAGGTCGGTGGGAGCCCTACCACAGAGGGCTTGGTGTAGTGGAAAGAGAACTGAATGTGGAATTAGAGGACTTAGATCCCAGCTCTGTTACTTGTAGGACATTGAGCAAATTACTGTCCCTCTCTGGGCCTCAGTTTCTTCCTCTATAAATGGAGGGGTTTGGTCTAGATCACTTTTTTGGGGGAGGGGAAGCAATTGGAGTTAAGTGACTTGCCCAGAGTCACACAGCGAGCAAGTGTCTGAGGCTGGATTTGAACTCAGGTCTTCCTGACTTTAGGTCCAGGCCCTACTTAGCTACTTGGCTGCTCCTGTAGGGACCTTAGATATCATTTAATCCAAAACCTCCATTTTGCAGAAGAGAAAGTGACCTTCCTGGGGGAAGGGAAAGGGGTATCCTGAATGAAGTCTCTCCAAAATAGAATACTTGGAAAGTGCCTGGAAGAGCTGCCCTTCTCCCTCTATATGAACCCCTTGAAGATTCCCTGAGACTCCCCTCCCCAGACCGCCTTGTGACCCCTGGCCTCTCTCTCCCCTGCCTCCAGAGCTGCAGCTTCTCCCCTACATGATTACTCTTGGAGATGCCCTTCACAATTTTGCAGATGGGTTGACTGTGGGTGCTGCCTTTACTGCTTCATGGAAGACAGGTCTGGCTACGTCCCTGGCTGTTCTGTGCCATGAGGTGCCCCATGAACTTGGTGAGGCTCCTATCCCCAAACTTCTTGATCTGAGGGAACAAGCGGGCCCAGACTCATGGGGGCTGGCCCAGAGTCCCAGGAGGTGGGTGACGCCAGGGGAAGAGAAGCATCGGATGCCCTGTACTGATCTCCTTCCTCTCCCCAGGGGACTTTGGTGCCCTACTCCATGCAGGGCTGTCCGTGAGTCGTGCCCTACTGCTGAACTTGCTGTCGAGCTTGACGGCCTTTGCTGGGCTCTACGTGGCTCTGGGGATTGGGTCCAGTGAGCAAAGTGAGATATGGATCCTCGCAGTTGCCATTGGGCTCTTCCTCTACGTGGCACTCTGTGACATGGTCAGTGCTGGGGCAGAGAAATGGGTGGCTGGTGCTGGGGAGAGCGGAGACACGCCATGCGTTGACCCTGCCTCTTTTCTCTCTGTTAGCTGCCGTCAATGATGAGTGTGAGGGACAAGAGGCCCTGGCTGCTCTTCTTCCTGCACAATCTGGGGCTCCTGAGTGGCTGGGCCATCCTGCTGGTACTATCCTTGTATGAGGAGAACATCACCTTCTGATTGGCAGCCTTCCTGACACCTGACCCTTCACTGCCCACCCTCTGCCCTCTACTACTCTCTAACTCTGAACTGGACCCAGCGTGGCCCTCTGGCCTCTGACCTCTGACCCCTTCTGTCACCTTGTACAATGCACTAGACACTTTTCTGGGATGCTCTTTGATGATTCCTGAGTTGAGGTGCCCCCAGGTTCCCTCTTCACCCCCATCACTCTCCAGATCTTTCAGGATCCATTCATTAGCGCCTCAGAGAAAATTTCTACAAAATTATTTTGACATATCCTAAAATGCATACATACCTTCCCCCTGATGGGTGAGGAGGGGTTCACTGTTCCCTGCCCCTCACTGCTTTCTAACCTCCAGTGACCTCAAGATCCCACACATCAGCTTTTTGTCCCTGGTCCTCAGTCCCTCAGGCCTCTGGGAATTCCTGCTACACCCTTTGTGCTAGACACAGGGGAACAGGGAGAGTTCCAGAGGGGGCCCCTGCCTCCACTTCATGTAACCCTTATAAACCTGTTTTTTCCTTTTTTGGGCTGCTTTGGTCTCCTGCCCTTCAATGGGAAGGAGGAGGGAGAGAATGAAAGGATGGAGGGAGCCCAGTGAGGAAGGGGGAGCAGGATGGAGTGGTGGACAGATGCCCAATGACCGCACAGAGTGGGAGTGATGGGGTGTGGGCCCAAGCCGAGACCTTTGCCCCTTGCCCCACAAAGAATTTGGCTCCCATTTGTCTACAGGCTCCAGAAAACCCTTATACTTTTCTTACTCTTAACTGTCTCAAATGGTTCTTTATGGACTCCCTTATCTCCCTTTGAAAACCCTAACCCCACCTTCTGATCTTATTCAGATGCCTTTCAAACTTCTTCCTTCCAGTTCCCTTCATTATCTATTCCCATTGTCTATTCAATCTCTCCAGACATTCCAAATCAGAATTCTCACCTAGACCCTTTTCCCAGCCCCTCCTCTGGTCACCCAAAATATTTGGGTGTATATAAGATCCACCCAGGCCCCCATTTAAACACTCATTAAAAAACTCATGACACCTTGTCCCTATGGGCGTTACTAATGTTCAGATTCCTTAAGAGTCTAGCCTATGTGGTTTGTCTCTAATAAACTTTTTCTCTGACTGAAAGAAGATTTGGGTTGAATTCATTCAGACAGGGCCCATGTGTCGTGATCTTGGGGTCCCCTCACCCCTAAACCTCTAGACCTCATCATATGGTTCCCTGACTGGGAATAACTGCCAAATCCCAAATTTTTCTCCAGCCATCTAAGGTAATTTGAGGAGGAATATAGCATTAATGACTGAAAGAACACCTGAACCAAAACTGTCATAAAGATAAAGATTCTTAGAGGTAGATGCAAGAAATAATAAGTGACATTGGTACAGGTTGTCCCAAAAGTCTGACTGCTGTTTGCAGCTTTAATAGTTTAAGACTATCGGGACACCTAGTGTAATACTTTCAAGTTTGCCTGGTGTTTTGCATTATCTCATTGGAGCCTTACAACCCTGAGAAGTAGGGACTACTCCTATCATCCCCAATTATTAAGAAACAGAGAAGTGAAATGACTTCCCTATGATTGTAGCCAATAAAGTACTAGATATGAAGGCGAGTAGGCAAAAAAAAATGGATTATAGAGTTTGGAGAGTGACTAAAAATCTAGTTTGGCAAGAATATTAAAGGGAAATAAAGTAAATTGAGGCTGAAAAAGCAGGTTGGAGACTTCAGAGGTCCTTGGATGCCTAGATAAAGAGGAAGTGGCAGAGTAAGTGCAGTTTTGACCCAATTTTCCTGAAATCTGAAACAATAGCAAAACTATTCTTCAGGACATTTATTCAAGTTAAGAAATGTTTATTATGTGACTCTCATATGCAGGTTCTTGTGTTACATTATAAGAAATATAAAGATGAAAAACCATATAGTCAATGATAAAAGACCTTAAAGACCTAAACCTCTAATGAAGATGAGCGGACAGGTACACTGACGTTGTTCAGTTGTGTCCAACTCTGCATGACCACATTTTGAGGTTTTCTTGGCAAAGCAGTTTGCCATTTCCTTCTGCAGTTCATTTCATAGGTGAGGAAACTGAGGCAAACAGGGTTAAGTGACTTGCCCAGGGTCACACAGTGTCTGAAGCTGGATTTGAATGCATGAAGATGAGTCTTCCTGATTCCAAGTCCAGTGCTTTATCCACTGTGCCACTTAACTGCCCATGGTACACTGATACCTTTGACAGTAGGGAGTGTTGAGGGGGAAAAGGTCCCAGAACTCCATTTCCCATGACAGTTGAACTCGGAGAACAATACTCATTAAGAAGAAGTCTTAACATTCTATTTCCCACCAGACTATGAGTTCTGGGTTAGAAGTGATAATTTTCAGAGCTGGGCAGGTTATTTGTGTCCCCTGTCCATTCTCCATCATTTAGTAGTGAGCAGTCATGCAATAAGTCCCTGGCTTTTCTAGGGAAATGAAAAGACAACTCAAATACAGTTTATGTACCCTAGAAAAGTTTATTTATGGAAGAGTATATGTACAGTCACTCAGTCCTTTAGGGGACAGCCAGTGTAGGTGGCAGCTCTGTGAGGAGAGGCTTCTAGCTCCTTGTCTGTAGAAAATGCTCCATGTCATGCTGGTGACATTTTATCAGTCCCTCTTGCCTCTGGCTTTTTTTTTTCTATTTAAATACATACTTGACTGGCATCAACAGATACGAACATTTCCCTAGACAAAGAATAGGAAAGGAAGGTTGCCAATGAAGCCATGACCTCCAACACCTGCATTTTGGGTTTTTGTACATTTCAATTTAATAGTGGCAGTCCCAAAATTGTACTGCTTGTCCATGTCCCCTTCTCAGGTGACACTAAGTTGACAAGCATTTATTAAGTGTTTACTATGTGCCAGGCACCATATTAAACCCTGGGAATACAAATACGAGCAAAAAGACTGTCCCTGACCTGAAGGAGCCAATATTCTAAGGGAGGAGGAAGACAATGCATAAGAGGAAGCTAAGAAGGAAGAGAGGAGGGAGTGAGGCATGACGGAGAAGCTCAGCTTGGTGGGAAATGAAGAGATGTCTGGGGTTTTGGGAGGAGCCATCCAATCAGAGGAAAGGCCTTCAGAAAGAAATGGCAAACTAAAGATGCCAGTATCTTTGCCAATGTTTACCCTTTTAGCTAGCAATACCACTACTAGGTCTGTATCCCAAAAGAGAGAAAACAACAAAAAGGAAAAGGACCTATATGTACAAAATATTTGTAGCAGTTCTTTTCTGGGTGCAAAAAATTGAAAATTGAGAGGATGCCCATCAATTGAGGAATGGTTGAACAAGTTGTGGTATGTGATTACGATGGAATACTATTGTACTATAAGAAAAGATGAGCAGGATCCTCTTAGAAAAACCTGGAAAGACTTGCATGAACTGATGAAATGTACTGTTTACAAAGTAACAGCAATATTGTAAGATGATCAGCTGTGAATGACTTTGCTATCCTCAGCAGTACAAGTATCCAAGATGACTCTGAATGACTTATGAAGAAAAATGCTATCCATCCCCAGAGAATGAACTGATGATGTCTGAATACAGACTGAAGCATACTTTTTTTACTTTCCAAAAAAAAACTACCCTCAATTCATCATGTTTGTACACAATTGTTTGCACGTTGTCTCCCCCATTGGACTGTGAGTGCCCTGAGATCAAAGACTGTATTTTTATTTTTATTTTGCTTTTTGGTGAGGCAATAGGGGTTAAGTGACTTGCCCAGGGTCACATAGCTAGTAAGTGTCAAGTGTTTGAGGCCACATTTGAACTCAGGTCCTCATGACTCCGAGGCTGGAGCTCTATCCACTGTGCCACCTAACTGCTCCACCTAACTGCCCCAATTGTATTTTTTTTATCTTGTTTTTGTATCCCCAGAGCTTTGCAGAGTAGCTAGTACATAGTAAGTATTTTATGAATGCTAAAAAAAAAGAAAAATAGAGAAGGCACTCTACCCAAACCCCTTTTATGAGACAAATAAGGCATTCACACTCAAAATAGAGTGATATAAAAAAGAGAAGGATCAATCAATCAGTAAACATTTATTAAGCACCTACTACTACCTGCCTTATAAGCCAGTCACTGTGGGGAGTGCTGGGGATAGAAAAAGAGGTCAGAGACAGTTCTGACCCTTGGGGAGTTTGCAGGAGACAACACACAAATAAATATATACAAGGCAAGCTATATACAGGATAAATGGGAAATAATTAACAGAGAAAAGGTACTAGAATTAAGAGGGGTTGGGAAAGACTTCCCGTAAAAGCCAGAGAAGTCAGTAGGCAGAGTGGAGGAGGGAGAACATTCCAGGCATTGGGGATAGCCAGAGAAAATGCCTGGAACCAAGAAATAGAATATCTTGTTTGTGGAACAGCCAAGAGGCCAGCTTCACTGAATTGACGAGTGCATGGCAGGGAGTAAGGTGTAAGAGGACAGGTGAGGTAGGAAGGGCTTAAGTTATGAAGGACTTCGAATGACAAGTAGAGCATTTTGTATTTGCTCTTGGAGGTGATAGCAAGCCACTGGAGTTTATCTGGTATGGGCGTGAGATGATCAGATCTGTGCTTTAATAAAATCATTTTAGTGGCTGAATGGAGAATGGAATGGAATGGGGAGAGATGAGTCATTGCAGAAGTCCGTCAATAAAATCAGGTCAAAAAGAAGAAGAAGGAGGAGGAGGAGGAGGAAGAGGAGGAAGAGGAGGAGGAGGAGAAGGAGAAGAAGGAGAAGAAGAAGGTTATCATGGATTGATCTACTATGGAAAATGAAAAAAAATTGAAAACAGGTGCTAGACTGAATTTGAAAATAAGAAATTTTTAAAAATTCTTATTTCTCCCCTTTCCTTTAACTCCTCCCCTCACTTCCACCTTCTATATCTAGTCATTTGCCAAGTCTTATATCAGTGATACCTCCATAGCACATCTTGCAACTATAAAGTCGAAAATGTATTTTTATTCTATTTTGCTAAGACTTAATCAAGCTAGATTTAATATTCCCTTTCATAGTTTCTTCCTCACGTAAATTTCTCCTATTACATATACCACATTTCCTCTGGAGAAAATTCATGCACCTCAGCCCTGTATTCAGGGCTCTCCATGACTTGATCTCAAACTACCTGTCTAGGCTGTTCTCTTGTCTTTTCACTGAATATGCCTTGTGGGCTCCTGTCTCCATGTCTTTGCTCCTCCCACCTGGAGTGCCCCTCCCAAACACCCCCTCCCCATGCCCTTCCTCCCACCTCTCTACATCTTCTCTTTCAAGTCTCCACTCTTAGAGAAAGCCTTCCCTCTCTGATCTACTAGTTCACAAAAACATTCGTCTCTCTCTTTTCTGAAGTCTGTCTCATGATACCATATTTTCATTTATGCCTACTGTGTGCTGAAAGAAATACACAGCCCCTGCCTCATGGAACTTAGAATCTAGAAGCAGCAAAAGACACAAACACAGAGATTTGTACTATTAAGTGTTTTGGAGAGGTACAAGCAGAGTCTAGGTGCAATGCTAGGTCTGGGGAAAAGTTGTTAATAAGCCTGTGGGAAATCAGGAAGTCTTAATGGAGGAGATGGCATTTGAAGATGATTCAATTTAATAAATTCCTACCGTGCATCAGGCACTGGGGATATACATCCCTTTTATAAAGGGAACAGGCATTACCCTCAAAAATATCGTATATAAACCAAAAAGTATATAAAGAAGGTTATACAATGACATTGAAAGGGAGAGGGGGAGAGAGAGAGAGAGAGATGAGATGAGATGAGATGGAGGGAAGAAGGGAGAGAGAGAGAGAAAAAGAGTGAGTGCAGGAGGTGGAACGTTGAGTTTAAGAATAGG